CCCCAATAGCCTTAATTCTCATTCAAAACGAAGTAGTATATATATATATATATATATATATGTTTTATGTGTTAACAAAATAGACTCTTTTGCTATGAAAGTAAAAATTAATCTATTTAAAGTAGAAAACTTTACCATCAAAATGATATTTTTGCCATTTAAGTTTTTTAATGGAGGATAAATTGATCATTTCATTAATTACTTGGATGAATTTTTTAGTTGACCAAAGATGTAAAGTGCCTATTAAAATATTTTAGATGTAAAAGCAACTAGTGTAATAGTTCGTGGGGAATTTTTTTGCATTTAACCCATAAATCAGCTCATGATAAATCCAACTTTACATAAACCGGAATGGTCGAATCGAGGAACTTGTCGTTATCCAAAATTTTATCCAGAAAAAAGTGGATCCATGTAATCTGGGCCAGGAAATATTTTAATTGCGAAACTATCGAAGAGTCATTAATTATACTTACACCACAAACTACGCAGATTAATAAACAACACGCTTTCGACCATTGCCAAAGCAAGAAAACAATTTCTTTAACATTTTTTCTTGGCCTAAATTTCTTGGTTTTCTTGATCAATGTGTAATTAATCTGTCGCAGGGAAGTTATTTGAGTATTATTCACGAGGGATCCAAATGAAATATTTGTTGCTTATTTTCTCACGAGTAAAATAATTGAATGAATTCTTGTTTCCTACTTTAAAACTAGTACTCCATTTGACATGCAATTTTAAAGTGGCTTTCTAAATCATATATCCAGTTCTTGAGAAAAGGGCTGAACTGGCTAACCTACTTATTTGGCATTGAGGATGACAGTAAAAACGTTGTAATCTACTTCTTCAAGTAACTTCTTTATGGTAATTACATGAAATGTTTTTGTTTTCTTAAAGAGAAAAAAAAAATCAACAAGTTACATTCTATTTCAGCAAATAGTAGAGAAAGCAGAAAAAGATATGGTCTGCTTGATTTTTCTAGTCCTGGCTTAATCCTCAGCATCATTCCATGGATTTCTTTTCTGTTGCTTAACATTTCTGAGAGCCTTCCAAACAGCACTGTTGCATTTGAAACCTGAACCCAAAGCAATTTGCCAAATTCTATCACCCCTTTTGATCTTCTTGTTAGCCTCCAAGTAAGCCAATTCATACCAGACACTACTGCTTGAAGTGTTACCAAATCTCTCCAGTGTCCTTCTTGATGCTTCCATATATTCATTGGTCAGATCCAAATTTTTCTGTATTTCATCAAGAACTTTCTTGCTTGTGGCGAGTATGCAAACGTGCTCAAATGCCCGCTTGTAGTCAGGGATATAAGGCTTGGACTTCTTCTTGAACAGCAAAGATGTGAAGAAATGGAATTGTTCAGACACAGGAAGGACTAAAGGGCCAAGGGTAGTTATGTTTGCTTTGAGTGCATGACCTCCAACTTCAATCACATCTTTGCTCACTGAGAGTCCTTTCTTACCCTCTGCATCTTCCTTGAGATGTATGCTTTTAAAGCTTCTGCTATCCATTGCTTTATGAGTCCGGACCAGCTGCAATGTTCAGTAATCTCATCAAAACAACTTTTGAACGTCCAAAGTATATCGTTTTTTCGGTAATTGTCAAGCAGGATTGGGAATTTGGAATCAAGATCAAAATTCATTTTTGGAAATAAGTACACAAGGCAGCCTTTAATAAAATTGAAACTAAACCTTGACTAATTTTATGGTAATCATGTCATCTGCTGCTCTATAATATTATGCTGTGATGCAAATTGATACCAACTAAAAATGGCATCCATAATGACCAGAAACGGTAATTAATTTTGTTGATTTCAACACTGATGGCAGATCAACATGGCAAATGGTTAGGACTTAGGCTAGAAAGGACTAGATGCATTTGACTTGAGGTGATTGAGGGCCACAAAAGACTCAATTTGACTGGGAGAACTTGACGAATTACCTGTTTTAGTTCATACTTAGAACGCCATCTATCAGTAAGATGATTGGAAAGCAAAATTGCGGCAGATCCCATACGAAAGAAGCAATTAGGGAGAAGCATATCGAGTTCTCTTCCAGCATACCAAGTGAAGGTCGTAGCTTCAATGCTGACTACCAATGCATATGATCCAGGATAGGCACTCAAGAGGTCTTTGGCAAGATCTATAGCTGTAACACCAGCAGCACAGCCCATTCCACCAAGATTGAAGCTTTGAATCTTATAGCTCAGCTTGTAGTGATTGATTATCATGGCTGAGAGAGATGGGGTGGGATTTAAAACTCCGCAGTTTACGATAAGGATCCTGATGTCCTCTGGGCGAATTCTTGTTGCAGCAAGGAGATTATCCACTGCTCCAAACATTAACATCGATGCCTCTTCCCTACCATCCCTTAAGGTTATTTTATGATCAGGTTGGAATATTATTCTTGGCAGGTATGTCTCATCGCCTAAGCCCGAATTCTTGAGCACACGCTGCTGAAATTCTATTGCTGCATCACTGAATTTTCCTGATCTTTTCGCCAAATCAGTGAATTCCTCCTTAGATATCTGCCAATGGTCAAGGAAGTAGTACCACATGTTACCATTTCATTATTCTATTATCATGTACAATGATATGATTGAAAAAAAATTAAATTTAACCTTTTCTAGTCTTTTTGAGGAACATTAAGTGAATGAAATAACCAATAATCAGCTATCATAAAGCCTGCTAAGAACATACTTGAAATGCTGAAGAAATTGTCACCAGAGGATTAGAAAATTACCTTGAGTTCATTTGGAGGACGATAACACGCAAAATCGACTAGATAAGTTGCACGAGGTGTTAAATCAAGATAGACATACAGAACTGAGCAGAAGAATACTAAGAGAGCAATTAAATTCAAGAAGTTAGTAAAATCCAGGAATGAGGTGGTCCAAGTTAACTTCCAGATTTGAGTTCCAAATGTGGCTAAAAGAACAGGAGCAGCCACACAATATATGCCATGGCTTAGAAGATAGCCGTAACCAAGCTTCACATATTTCAAGTTCACAGAATTAAGAAAATCCGGCAGCCCTCTCCTGACTTTGACACGAAAACTAGGAGAACCAGCATACGGACCGGAATCCTCGACACCCCAGTTCACGATTTCCGGCGAAAGATACTCTGCGTTCCTCGCCATATATAGTATTTGAGTACTTAAAAATGATAATGCATTAATTTTGTTCAAAGCCAAAGAAGTACTGGCACCAACCAGGTTGATTAAGTAGGGAAAGTCCAAGAAAACTCAAATAAAGATATATAGAAGAGAATTCATGAGAATGGCGTTTAATTCTAAATTTCTGTGGTATAACAGAAAAAAAAGTGTGTTTGTCTGCATGAAAGCGTGGGAGCAGCGGATTTATTGCAGAGCAAAACTTTTGCTGGCTGGATTGCATGGAAAGGAAATTGAAATTCGAGTTGCACTCCCTTTGTAATTTACGTGTTGAATCGAATGAATGATCTAGTGGATTTCCCTTTTGGGTAAAATGTCTCCTGATTTTAGGATCTGATCAGAGATGCCACGAAGACATTAATCAGGCAACCATATTCATGGACAGGATATCCAAGGTGTAATGGACGAAAAGCTCATTCTGTTTCCTCTCTGTTACTCTTTTTCTTTTTTTGGTTTTTCTGTCTTTCTTTTCTAATCACTGTAAATTTTTTTTTCATCCATATCAAGAGTATACATTGGAATTTCTTAATGCACTGTAGGTAGGATAGATTCTTGTAGTTAGTTTTTGGTTGTGCTGACAGTTAATATGGCTTCCAGTTCAGATTGTTAACTGCGTGGAACTATTAATTATTAATATTATTCTGGTTTTAACAAAATGTTTACTTTTACTTGAAAATTTTAATTTTGGTTTGTAACTAATATTTCTTCACCACTTCTAAATCTACTAATAATACATCACGTACGTGACTATTAGCCAAGATATAACATCTTTTAGATGCTAAGATTCTATTTTTTTTTTTTTTTTTTTTTTTTTTTTGTGAAATCTTGATTGTGAACACCATGACTCATGAAGTTTTTGCCGCAACGGATCTTCTGTCCCACACTCTGTGTCATTATCTGTCTCACTTTTTATTATATTGCTATTTCTCCTTCATAAACATCATGTTTTAGTTCTTTTTTGTTTCCTTATGATTCAATAACTATTAATTCAGTAAAAAATAAATCCAACAGCTTCAAAAAAGCAATGTATAATAGAAAATTAAAAAATACAGCAGAAAATGCATAAAAGATCTCATTTTTTATGCATTTTGATTTTTTGAGTTTGTTAAATTTTGTGTATTACTAAATTAATAGTTATTGGATCTTAAAGAAACAAAAAAGAACTAAAACATGATATTTATGAAGAAGAAATAATAATATAATAAAAAATGGGACAGAGAATGACACAGAGTGTGGAACAGAAGATCCGTTGCGAGTTTTTGCCTTTTCTTGATGATCAGTTTTAGTACAATTGGTGGATGTGATCAAGTCATAGAACATTGCTCCCTCCACGTAATTAACCACTTACCAATGATACGTGGTAGTATTATTAGCATTCTACACCTCAAAAAACTATATAGCTCTTAGACCCGCTTACTGCATATTGGTAGAAGATTTTATGGCCTCAATCATATGGATATTAGACCCTCTAATCATATGCATATTATCATTTAAATTCAAATTTTAAATTTATGAGGGTAAACATGCATAAAAATAAAAAAAAATATGAACATCACAATTAAATCATTATTTTTAAAAAGTTAGATTCTCGAAACATGATCAAATACTTTATGGTGCAAATACAAGTCATTTGGGTTTAGTTCCGAACCTCTGGGCTCAGACGGAACCACGTCGAAGATAGAAAGGTAGATTCAAGTCTTCACTTCAAGAAAAAGAAGAGTGGCTTTAGTCAGGAAGAAGGGATTGAAACTTCCCATGCACATAATGTTGAGAGAAATGAACATAATATGGGGGGAAAATGTAGGGGAGATCGATATGATTCATTAATTAATTCAACAGATCCTCAAAACACCTAGCCTTTTCCAGATTTGCATGAAAACCAGCTTTTGCATGGAGGGAAGAAGACAACTTCTGATTTGATATCGAATAGCCTGAACTTTTTCAATATAAGACTAATATTAAGTTCCTACATATCTAAAGTCCAATGCAGAGAAGGATAATATGAAGTTTTAATCTCACAAACATTTAAGCAATAGTTTCTCAAGAAGAAGAAAGCATGCACTCTTTCCTCTAAAAGCTCATTGAAGGAAATGTCGTGATCCTACAAACTCTCCAAGGGTACAGTTCAACCACAAAGCAAAAACAGAATGAAACATTCAAATCACAGTATGACAAGGCAATCTTGGAGCGTATGCAAAGAAATGTTAATTTTTGAAAAAAAAAAATGTTAAAAAAAGGCAAAGAAAAATAATAATAAGCTCCTAAGGACGTAGACAGAGCTTCACTTAGTTGCAACCTCCATTTCTATGCTTTCAAGTGATTATTTACAAAGGCTGATCAATAACTGGTACCAATTCTTTTCAAACCTAGACAACTACATTAGCAGTAAAGAATTGGTTAATCCTGTGTTTAAAATCCTCATCTGTCCTTCCATAATCTACAGTAAAATTCAAACTCATCGACTACTTTTAAGACCCAAATGAGCATACCTGTCATAACATAAGCAAAATCAATGTAGCCATAAGATCCAAAAAGAGTACGATTCTGTTGAAACGGCGTGTCATCCTTCTTCTCACCAATAACTCCACCAGTCAGCATGAAAAAATTGAACAAGACAGGGTTCAAATCCTAGTTGCCAAAAGAGACGTAAACATCAAAATAGCAACCAAACAGCCATACTACTCAGGGAACTTATGGTCGAAGTAGTTCGTGTCTCAAGAATTTACTAACCTGGTCAAGCATGATGTGGGCTGCTGAAAGATCACGGACCAAATATGTAGGCTGATAACCATGCAAAAGTTCCAGAAGATGAGCAAGTCGAACAGCTACTTTGATTCTGTCAAGCCATTTAAACTCTCCTAGGAGCGTATGCAAAGAGATTGTGACATGAGTCAAAATGCACAAGTTGTGGCCAAAAAAATGCACAGATCCCTGTTCTATTGCTCCTATGTCAAATGCAATAAGCTACATGAGCCTAGTTCAAAATTATGCAATTTTTAGGTAGTTCAGGTATGCTATTTAACGGCATTAAAATGATTTTTTTTCAATATCCTATCTTCAACTTTTGAGCACTAAAAGTCCCCAGTTATAACTTTTGAGGCTTAGCTCACGTAGCTTCAAAAAGAATCGATGGTTAGATTTTCCCCGTATGACCACTCCCCAAGGTATCACATTTTTAAAATATCAACACAAATACTAAGATAGGGTCCAAATAAAGGCAAATGTATACCTTTATCAACAAAGTTGCGAAGTGTATTCATGGACTTAAGATCATAAACAACGCCCAGCATCTCCTTTTCATCAACCTGACAAAATGCCATCAACACTGGCAAGTTGGAAGTGGTCGAATTATGATGCTTCAGAAGAGTTATCTCGTAGTGCTAAAAGCACAGTAACTTGTGAAATTTTCCAGAAGTTGACACATTGTCAAACAGCTGATATTGAAAGGAAATTGATGAAGAATAGAAAGCAGAGTAACATACATTAAAATTCCCGAGAAGATCTTGATACAAAGCTTCCACCCGATACTTAAAATTCATTTCAGCAGCTTTTACCCACACCTTAACCGTAACATCACGGGCTTCAAACCCTTTCCAATCTTGAGGAATCCTTCCATGATACAGTTCGCAGTATTGGGCCTTGGCAATGTGATTGTTATAATGACTAAAATTATCCGTGAACAATTCCAGGTCATGGTGTTGAGAAGCATGATTTGTGGAACTGCTAACAGATTGCAGCAGTTAGTTATTCACTTTGCTATTCTTAGGCAATAGATAAGTCAAGTACGTGATATGATTCTGATTGTAGGATCTTATCTCTAGCAGATTTTTTTCCAGATTTTCTCTAATTCTGTTTTCTTTATGCTATATAAAAGCATGGCTTATGCCTCAATAAAATCAGACTTCTGCAATACGTATTCACTCTTGCTCTACCTTTTTCTGCTCTAATACCCAACAAAGTGGTACCAGAGCTCTCATCTTGAGGGATCTGTGAGGATTGAGAGAGTTTAAACACTTACCCTTATTACGATGAATCCAGAATTTTCCTCTACTTATCAACTTGGACCTCCCATATTTGATGGAACAAATTATCAAATGTGGGCTGTCAGAATGGAAGCGTATCTTGGTGGAAATGATTTGTGGGAGGCTGTAGAGGATGATTATGAAGTACTTCCTCTTCCAAACAATCCAACAGTTGCTCAAATGAAACACCATAATGAGAGGAGACAAAGGAAATCGAAAGCCAGAGCAAGTCTATATGCAGCTGTCACATCCACAATCTTTACCAGAATCATGACGTTGAAAACGGCGCATGAGATCTGGAATTTCTTGAAGAAAGAATATGAAGGAGATGAAAAAATCAAAGGGATGCGAGTGTTGAACTTGATTCGTGAATTTGAGATGCAGAAGATGAAAGATTCAGAAACTATCAAGGTCTATTCCGACAGACTCCTTGACATAGTCAATAAAGTAAGACTCCTTGGTACTGATTTTTCTGATTCTAGAATAGTTCAAAAAATTCTAGTTACAATCCCTGAAAAGTACGAGGCTACAATCGCGGCCTTGGAAAACTCAAAAGATTTGTCAAGTATCACCTTGGCAGAGTTGTTAAATGCACTACAGGCACAAGAACAAAGAAGGCTGATGAGGCAAGAAGGATCGGTGGAAGGTGCCTTTCAAGCCATATCACAATACAACAACAGGGGCAAGAACAAGAAAAACAACAAAAAGGTGCCTGGAAATAACAAATCTCAAGTATATCCACTTTGCCCTTATTGCAAAAAAACCAATCATCCGCAGAAAAGGTGTTGGTGGAACCCAAATGTAAGATGTCACAAATGTGGTCAGTTAGGGCATGTGGAAAAGATATGCAAGTCTCAACAGCAACAAGAAGAAGCCAAGGCTGCTGAAAATCAACCTCAGGAAGAGCAATTGTTTGCAGCTTCATGTTTTGCTACTAATAGCTCCATGGAAAGCTGGCTTATAGATAGTGGTTCTACAAACCACATGACTTATGATCGAGAACTTTTCAGAAAGCTTGATAAAACTACTACCACTAGAGTCCGGATTGGAAATGGAGCTTACCTTGCTGTAAAAGGCATAGGAACAGTGGCAATTGAAGGGTACACAGGTTTGAAATTAATTTCTGATGTTTTATATGTTCCAGAAATTGATCAAAATCTTTTGAGTATTGCTCAGTTGTTGGAAAAAGATTATAAGGTGCTATTTGAAGATAAAAGCTGCATAATTAAAGATCCAGAAGGAAGAGAAATGTTCAGAATTCAAATGAAAGGCAAAAGTTTTGTTTTGGATCTGATGGGAGAGGAGCAAGCGGCTGTACACAAAGAAATTAACGATGCAACGCTTTGGCATAAGAGATTGGGCCATTTTCATCATGCTGCTCTGCTGTCAATGAAGAAAAACAACTTAGTAGAAGGTATGCCAGAGTTAGATGAAGAGCTTCCTACATGTGCTGCTTGTCAATACGGGAAGCAATCAAGGCTTTCTTTTCCCCAAAGTACAACTTGGAGAGCTACACATAAGCTGCAATTGATACATACAGATGTTGGAGGACCTCAAAAAACACCATCTTTGAATGGTAGTAAGTTTTATATTCTCTTCATTGATGATTACACTAGAATGTGTTGGATTTATTTCATGAAATTCAAATCTGAGGTTGCTGACATCTTTTGGAAGTTTAAAGCGTGGGTTGAAAATCAAAGTAGTTGCAGCATGCAGGTGATCAGGTCTGATAATGGAACTGAATATACCTCAAAAAAATTCAACAAATTTTGTGAAGATGCAGGCATAGAGCACCAACTGACAGCCCCTTACACTCCCCAGCAAAATGGAGTGGTAGAGCGTAAAGTTTTCGGATTAGCGAGTAATTTTGCTCACTCCTATCTACACTAGAACCATCCTAAGTATAACACAACACATTGGATGCACTAATGGCTTGTACTATTAGTATTGCAACTTGTACGAAGTGTGGAATTAGCATTTTCTAGAGCCAATTGTAACGTGAATGAGTAAAATGAAAGTAAAAAGTGAAAGTACACTTCTAACCCTCATATTACCGTATTTAGTTATTGGGGCGCCTTATCTTATGAAAGTAATTCTTTTTCAAAAAATATTTCACGTTTGTAGTAGTAGATAATTATAGGGAATGGTGGAGCCACGTTGATTCCACGGGGTGCAATTGCACCTCTCAATTTTATTAAAAAAAAAAAATTTGTGGAATAGCCTATGAAATTTTAGATATTTTAGAATTGCTCCATAGATACCCCTCCTGAATTTTGATAATATTCCTTCTAATCTTGCGACTAAAAGTGTTAAAACTTTTTGCAATTGCTCTTACCATTTCTATAATAGAGCCTTGAAACAAAATATATTACAGAATGCTACTTTCTCTTTCTTTCTAATGTATTTTTATCATGTAACATTTAAGCTTTTTAGATGTCCAATAACAGGAATTGCAAGCGAAATAAACATTCCTTTGATAGTCCAGTGTTGTACACATTATTAGCCCAATTTATATACAAGTACAAAAATTGAATCAAAATGCTTTAGGGATATGAACCTCTTCGTCAATCCGCCTCCATCTCTATACAAATGCTTATCTCGAAAAAATTTACAGAAAAAAAAAATGGAGATAGGAAAGGATGCATGGATAGCAATGTATATATATACAAGTGAAATTGGTATGGATCTTAAATTGAAGAAATCGAATCCCATAGAGCAGCTCTGAAAGAGATTCATGTCAAATTGTAGCTTGTTGTGGTGAAGGTGACTAAGGCCCGTTTGGGACTACGGTGCTTTTGTTAAAAGAATACTTTTAGGTGTTAAAAGTACTTTTGAGAAAAGTATATTTTGGTAAACATTATTCCATAAAATTAGGAGTGGAACTTTTGGTCCTAAAAGCACTTTTAGCAAAAGCTCAAATTTGATACTTTTAGAGTACGTTTGTGATTTAAAATAAATATTTAATTTAATCATTTTATCCTATATTATCAACTAAATAAAGAGATAAATAAATATAAAAATTTAAAATTATATATTATCCAATACATTAAGTACTTATTGAATTAATGTATCCAGACTGGGAGTGTTTTTCAAATACAATAAAAATTTTTTAAAAAGTACTCTAAAAGGTAATCTAAAAATTAGTTTAAAATTTTAAAAAATATCTCAAAATATATTCTAGAAACTCTCCTACTCTTAAATATCCCAAAATATTTTCTGAAAATATCCCAAAATATAATCTAAAAACCCTGCTACAGCAAAATTTTTCAAAAATACCCCTAAAAAACAGCTAATCCAAACGGACACTAAACACATATTAAGCACTTTTATTAAAAGTTCTATTGGAAAAATAATTTTTCCTAAATTTTAAAAGGGTAGCGGCCGAGAGGTTTGAAATCTGCTGCTGTTCAGTGGAAGTTGATTTATCTAATTAGTCACACATTAAAGTACTAAAAAAGTCACTAACATAGAATTCAAGTCAGTTGGCCATCATAAGGTTTAAAGTGGACTTATATATACTGAAAAAATGGACCATCAAAAGTCACAAGCATGCTACCAATCATAATTACTTGGTCACGATTGATAAAATTATAGGTGGCAAACTAACCCATTTAACTAAATTTATCCATACCCGCTCATAAATAGATGGGTATGGGTATCTTAAATTTTTGTATATGGGTATAAATGGGTTATCCAATAATACCCACTTAGTAATGGGTATTATTGGGTAACCTATCAAACCTAATTAACCCATTTAGAATTCTCTTCCCCACCCTTTTTTTTTTCAAATTTTCATTTTGTCACGATGTTAACTACCTTTGTTTCATTATTATTATTATTTGTTGGTTTTATTTTATTATTTTATTTTCTCTTAGTTTATTTACTTGCTCATTTTCAGCATTACCAATTTATGATAAGTTTTAACATCTTTTTTTATCTTTCTAAAACGAAATTTTAAATTTATATATGAAAAAAATGTTAGGGGTTCAAAATTTTTGGATTAAGTTTTTATATTAACTTTTATAGTATTTAGTTCAAATTTTTGTACTATTATTATTCAATTATTAAGTAATATGTAATTTTGCGGCATAGAGTATAAATGAAAAAAAATTGTTAATTAGGCTGATTGAGCATTATAAGTAAATATTTAAAACTAATGATGGATACAAAGAACGGTATAAATTGATAACTTAGTTTGCAAAAATGAATTTAAATGAGTTTACAAAAAATTAAAATAAATGGGTTATAAATGGATAATTGGGTTACCCAATTTATTTTTTGACTTATCCATTTATATCCATCTAATTAAATGGGTATAAATGGGTTGACTCACTTATATCCATTACCCATTTTACCCAACCCAAACCCGCCCAAGTCACCCATTTTGACACCTCTAGATAAAACCAACAATCATTTCAGCCACCTTCTCATAATCACTTGCTATATATTCCCTCTTGCACTTTCCTATATAGTCAAGATATGGCTGTTTTGTGGGGTTCCTAGATGTGTCTTCTGAAAGCTAAGCGTTGATTTCAAGTGATTCATTCCCATATGTATACACACAAAGGTAATTTTGTTAAGTTAAATCCCCTAGATGGCCAGATAAGAGTTCCTTATTTTCCCCTTATTTCATTAAGGTTTGGCTGGAATGTTGATAAGTCCCAGGATTTACGAATTTGATGGACTTGAAATTTGAAAGATGTTAAAAAAAAAAAAAAAAACTGGTTAATGCAAGCATTTTTTAGATAAAGATTTCCCACTCAGTTGCTCAAGAAAATTGAGTTGTAAAAAATGAGTTTAAAGGGCTTAGTTAATATGAAGCTCAAAGGTGAATTTTATAAGGTTCAAGCCCAAAGTTGAATCTATGTAAAATTTAGGTAAAATCGTCTAAAACGTCCTTCACATTTTGTAAAATGACTTTTTTCGTCCCTCACTGTTAAAAGTGTAATTTTATGTCCCTTACATATTCACATTGGTCAAATTTAGTCCCTAACTAGGTTCCGATCATTTTTTGGCTGGAATCCATCACGTGCAAGGCACGTAATCATTTTTTAAGGGTAAATTTGTCAGATTATATTTTACATAATCTAATCTATAGTCCTCTACATTTTATAAAACAAATTTTTTCGTCCCTCACATTTTATAAAATGATGTTTTCATTTCTCACATTTCACAAAATAAATTTCTCCATCCATCACATTTCAAAAAATGAATATTTCCATCCCTCACTAATTATGTGTGTGAGGGAAACCCTTAAAAAAATATGTGTGAATATATTTTGTTTAAATACATATATATGTCTATTTGATTTTGTTTAATAATACGAATAGTATAAATATATGTATGTGTCTATTTGATTTCACTTAATAATACGAATACCATATATTATACATGATCATTTGATTTCATCTAGTATTAGCTAGTAAAAAATCTTGCATTCATTGTCAAATTGACCAATCAAGCTATTTTCGGTCAGAATATAATAAGACTATGCAAATTATGGTTCTATTGGTAAATATTAGTCATAATCATACAAAAAGAGAAGATAGCCCACAAGTTGGGCCAAGTACATACGTGTGTTTATGCTATTATTATTAAGAAAAATCACCAAACCAAAATCTTAGTGGTATTTGCATGGTGATAACTGCAATTGGCAAAAACGTTTTGTATCTGACAAAAGACCACAGTGAAGCTCTAAAATAAGAAGCGATATGGGCACGGATTGTTGAGTCTGGCTTCCTCGGATTTCGTCGTATAAAATGGCTATGAAATTAGACCCAATAAAATGCACCAAATAATAAGACGTTTCACCTCAGCTTCAGCTTCAGCATCAGGTCCCATAACATCATAAATTGCTGATGCTCACCCCCAAATCAAGGACTTCTTGGCTAAAGGGCTCTATGACAAAGCCATCAACCTTTTCAAAGACCATGTCCACCCCTTCTTTCCAAACCATGAAAGCAGCGTCTTTATACTGCCGTCGATCATCAAAGCCACTGCAAGTTCCCAAACCCACAATCCCTTGGGCCTTCAGCTTTCACTGCTATGCCTTTAAAAATGGGTTTGATTCAGAATCTACAGTTTCGAATTCTCTCATCCCTGTGTATGCAAAATTCTCAGACACAAAGAGTGCATACAAAATGTTCGACACAATGCCTCAAAGAGACACCATTTCTTGGAATTCGATGATAAATTGTTATATGCAAAATGGGTTTTTGTTGGAATCAATGAAGATGTTTAAGGATATGTATATTTGTGGATTTGAGCCCAAGCCCGAGTTGATTGCTAGCGTTTTATCAGCTTGTAGTCAGACAGAAAATTTTCGATTAGGAAGATTGATTCATGCTATTGTTACAGTGGATGAAAGATTTGACAAGTCGGTTTTCATGTCAACCGCATTGGTAGATTTTTACTGGAGATGTCATGATCAGGAGACTGCTTTTCGTGTATTTGATAGAATGGAAGTTAGAAATGAAGTCTCATGGACTGCTATGATCACGGGATGTGTGGCAGATCATGACTATGCCAAGGCACTGGATTGTTTTCGTGCAATGCAGGTTGAAAAAGTTAAACCAAATAGGGTGACAGTAATTAGTATTTTACCAGCATGTGCTGAGTATGGTTCAGTTAATTGTGGAACAGAGATCCACGGATATGCTTTTCGTCACGAGTTTGACAGGGATTTTAGATTCTGCTCAGCTCTCATACATATGTATTGAGAATGCGGAGAAATTTGGGCTGCAAAGCTTATTTTTGAAAGATCAACTACAAAGGATGTTGTGATGTGGAGTTGTATAATTGCAGGCTATTCACGGAAGAAAGAAACTGCTGAAGAAGCTCTAGAGCTCTTTAATGAAATGCAGAAAAAGGGATTTCAACCCAACAGTGTTACATTATTGTCTGTGATTTCTGCCTGTACCAAACTTTTGTCGACATGCCATGCAGGTGGAGTCCATGGCTATGTCCTGAAATCTTGCTTGATATCTGAATTGAATATCCAAAACTCGCTCATTAGTATGTATGCCAAGTGTGGTTGTCTTCAGGATTCAGTTAAGATTTTCAAGGAGATGACACAGAGGGATTCTGTTTCATGGACTGCAATTATTAGTGCTTATGGTCTGTATGGTTGCGGGGAGGATGCCTTGCAACTCTTTGGTGAGATGCAAGAGAGTGGGATGAAAGCTGATGTAATTGCACTTCTTGAAGTCATGATGTTGTTAGATTTGCATACAACTTGAATTGAAACTTGTGAGGCCCGAAATCCATTTCACAAGGGGGTCCTATTACTTGAAGAATGGTTCTAGCCTAGGTTTGCCTTTTGACTTTATAAATGAACGACAACAACTCTGTGGAAAACCAAGTTTTGGCTGAAACGCATTTGATTCCTTAAAATTAAATAAAACTTCTGATTCCACTTCCTGGTAATTTATTTTTTTACTATGTTTCTTGAAGCATGTTGATTAAGATATGCAAAAGACTTCATAGTAAGTTTACGTACGTGATTAGAAAATTATTTTTTTTTAATCAAGTGGAAAATACCAATAGTCACACTTAGGGAGCTTCAAAAGAAAAAGAGTTGAAATCAAAGAGAAGTGAACATGCAATTTAATAAACTTTGTTCTTGTTTTTTAATTTAGTTTTGTTTGCCAATTTTAATAAATCCACAATAAAGAAATCGACATCAAACTTTCTTTTCTTGTATATATGATGAGGTTCATTTACATCCTAATATGTTCAAGGTTGAACATTGTGCTTTTCTAAGTTCTTAGTTCTAGTTTAATGTCATCTAAAGGCTAGCATGAAGTTACTGCTTCTGCTTTGTGTGAAACTAGCATTTCTTCGCTTCTAGGATTATGCGTAGGGCTGTCAACGGTCCGGGTCTGGACCCGGACCCGGACCGGACCCGTCAATATTTTCTGGGTACGGGTAGGTATATAGATCCGCGACTCAGATCCGGACCCATTTTATCTAACAAAAAGGCGGGTCGGATACGGGATATACCATGAAATTAAACAAATTAGCAGAGGTGCTAAACTACTAATGGTTGGTCAATTATTGGTTATGTGTTTTGGGCTCTTTTTCCTTTCTCTGTTTATTAGTAGTAAGATCTTCCAAAAGAGCTGTCAATCAACCGCAATTAGCCTTTTTCTTGAACCAATTTTTAACTACTACTACTAGGTGATTATAAATAAAGGCAAAAGGTGTAATCCAATGTGTATTGATCCCAAAGTTAATCATCAAATGCTACAAACGCCAAATGATACTTCTTGGAACTTACTGAAAAGTGAACATGCAGAAATAAGAATAGTCTATGACAAGATTCACTCCTTTTTGTGGAGGTGAAAAGGGTAAAAAAAAGCAAAAATAATTGCATGAGAATTGAAAGTCACGGGTAGAGGTGCAAACGAGCCGAACATTGAACTTATCGAGTCAGGCTCGATTACTATACACTCGAGCTCGACTCGATTAAGTAAGAAGCTGGTTCGAGTTCGACTCGATAAGGCTCGATCTACTCAACTCGACAAGAGCTCGAAATGGCTCGAATTCAGCTCGAAAATTTCTGTCACTAAACGTAACTAGTTTTATTTAACCTGACTCCAATAGCACATTTTAAGCTATTCAATGCCTTGTAAACTTGATTTTAACAATTCCAGACATGAATTAAAAGTAACAACAAACAAGTTCTTCATTGTCCAATAATACATGCACGAAATCAGAAACAAATGTCCACAACTCCACATACAGAATTGTTTCACAATTTTTCAATTCAAATGTCCAACACCTCAAACAAACTCAAAAACAAGGAACAAATAGTTTGAAATCACTCTAGATTAAGTCCTCCAGTAACCAATAAAATCACTCTAGATTAAGTCCTTCAGCAACCAATATAGATTACCTAAAAACATGTAGAGTCTCAAGGTATAGGTAATAAAATTTCCTTCTAAAATTATCTAGATCATCACCTTGACCAACCTCTTGATTCGAAGTTTGAGCGGGGGCTTGTGTATCACCTTCTAACCGCTCTTCTTCACTTCCTAGTTCTTCATCTCTAACGGAATATTCTAGCTCCTCCTCATTGTTATTTCCAGCAGAATCACCCGCCGATCTAACTAGTTGTGAAGAAACATCTTGAGGAGACATAGCCATATTGTGCTTGTGCCTAAATTCCAAACAACAAATAAGAGTAATTTTTTTCAACACCGTTGGGCTTGCTAACAAAATTGCAGGTTGAAAGTAAGCATAAACTTTTGCAAGAACTTTCACCGAAAGTCTTGGTGTGGTGGAGAAAGTAAGCATAAACTTTAAAGACATGAACTAGCCTTGTTGATGTCTTTTGCAAGAATTTTCACCGAGAAATACAAAGACCAAAAAAGTGTGGTTCCTATCATTTTAGAAGTCATTATTACAATACATCATTACAACACCATTTTAGAAGTCATCATTACAAAGACCAAAAAAGTATGAAAACTACAATGATTCTAGCCGTATTATTGATGGAAATTTTGATGGTATGCCTTGTTAAGTAGGGGTATTTGTGTAATTTCACACAGCTCGCGAGCGGCTAACGAGCATGACTCAAACTCGACTCGTGTTAGAAATGAACCGCTCGAACTCGACTCGAGCTCAGTATTAACCGAGCTCGAGTCGAACTTTAATCGGCTCGCGAGCCTCACGGTTCATTTGCGGGTTCAACTATAATTATGCTGTAGCCAAAGGGCCCTAGACTTAATTGACAATGAAATGCAATAAATGTGGTAAGAAGAAAAACCATCTCATTATTGGTGATATATCTCCTATCCTAGGGACTAAATTGACACTAGTGAAAAATTTTTGAGACGAAATTGACCAGGAGTTCAATTGCATGTGGGGAATTGTAACTCGAAAACTGATGGATTTTGGTAGGGCATCTATTGGGCTTGCGAGCCGGGCTTTACTTAGCCCCAAGTTGGGGTTTTCTAAACTCGGTGTTGCAATTAAAAAAAAAAAAAAAAAAAACTCTCTGCTGCACGAAATATTGCGACAGGCGCGGCCACTAGGTGAATTCTGGAATTCCAAGCACCTTCTTGGCGGGATGGGATCGGGCCCAAACTCAAAGAAGTTTAGAAGTTTAGACATCCATTGACGTTGTCAAATAAGTTTTCAAATTCTTGTTCAGTTATGTGGTTCCCAACTAGGGATGCAAATAAGGGGAGTCTCAAGTAAATTTTACGAAGTTTGAGCTTGAACTCGATCTTAAAAAAATAAAAAATAATAATAATTTTATTTTTCAAAAGTAAAAAATAATTATTTAATTTTTAAGAATGAATAAAATAATAATTTTTGTAACAAATAATAAAATATTATGGATATACATGTAATTTTATTATTAAAATAAAAATTAGAAAATGTATAATCGAGCTCGCGAACTAACGAGTTTGATATTTTTGAACTCGAGTGCAATTTAGAACTCATATGGAATAATGGAAATGGTTGTAGAGGGAATAAGTCACTTGTCCAAATGTGCGCATATGATTTGGCTAACGAGCGCCAATTGGGAGTTTCTATTCTCTAAGAGGGGTTTTCAGTATTAGTTTTTTGAAAAAAAATGTAATTAAATCACAAAAGTGTTTTAAAAAATGTAATTAAGTCACAAAAGTGTTTAAATGTGGGAGGTGCGTTAATTGTGAATATGCGTAGTAATATAGACTTATGAATTAATATTTCCTACATTGACAATGTATACACCATCAGCGTTGGATAAACGACAATTATGCAAAATTTAAATTCGAAGTTCAACTTTTGTACACATGTCATGAATCAAACGGTGATAGTGTATACACTGTCAGTATATATAAGATTTACTCTAAACTTATATGTGATTTGGATGTGTTAATAAGTATCCAATGGGTATCTGTTACAAAAATATTTTTAGTTAATTAACTACATTACCATCTTTATATAATTAAGGCTTACTCAGTCCCCATATTCATGCAACTTACAAATTGCCACATTATCAGTCGAGCTCGAACTCGAGCTTAAAAAAATAATAAATAATAAATAATTTATTTTTAAAAAGTAAAAAATAATTATTTAATTTTTAAAAATGAATAAAATAATAATTTTTGTAACAAATAATAAAAATATTAGGGATATATATGTAATTTTATTATTAAAATAAAAATTTATAAAAATGTATAATCGAGCTTGCGAACTAACGAGTTTGATATTTTTGAACTTTAGTTTGAGCTCGAGTTCGACTTACTTGGCTCGAGCCCGACTCGCGTCTGCAGCCCTATTCCCAACTTCTCATTTTGTTTTTTTAAGAATATATTAATTTTTTTTTAAGTGAGAGTATTTGAACTGAAAATCTCTTATTTACAATCCTTCCTTTCCTACATTACCATCTAATCCAACTATTTTCCATAGTTTTTTTTAAATTTATTTTTTATAAATGGGAGATCTCGAATCCAATACCTCCTTCTTATAATTTCTCCCAACTTACTACCTAACTCAATCCCCCTCCTTATATTAACTTGAATGATTGGTAACCAATGAATACTTTTTTGAAATCATTTTTGGTCATATGCTCTTAACTTTTATATTTGATAATGCATTAGTTTTAATATAGAGTATTCAATGAACGACTTTTACTTTGCGAAGAAAAAAAAATCTCACAAAGACATTCCTTTTAAATCATTTTTACCAACTTTTCAATGTATAAAATTTTCACTTTTCAAAATGAAGATGTGAAGTCAAACAAATATTTAATTAAGCAAGTCGGAGGGCTTTTTTTTTTTTTTTTTCTTGAAAAGTTCCACAATTTTTTTAGGGTTCTTTCGGTCAAGTATCTTGTTTTTCAACTAATTTCACCTTTTTTAATATGTAAAAAAAAAAAAAGAATGAAATTTAAGAAGTGAGCAGAGAATAAGAGGGAATTAAATCCGAAGCTTCTATTTAATGCAGTCTCAACTATAGCGGTTACAACAAACGAAATACCATATACAAAACTTGAGGAAGGGATTTGGGTTAACATTTGTCTATCACTTTTTGAACTTCACTTTTTGAAGCTCCTGCAGCTTCCCCACAACGTTTTTCGTGGACGGACGGATTCTCAAATCTCCATCCACACAAAGCCTAGCCAACTTTGAGATTTTCTGCCCATCACGAAGATTGAATTCAGGTTCTTCCTCGAAACTTTTGTCAGCAAAGGAGCATTTTCTTTCCTTCAAGGAAAATCTTGATTTCTTCAATGGGTAGAGATTAACAGCATCAAGGTGAAGGTATATCCATGCCCCCGTCTTTTCATCTATGTGATGATCAACAGT